TTTATCTCGTGAGTGTGGATGAGATTTGTGGTTGTGTGTCCATGGCACCCGCGATGCAGGGCTAGGAGTGTTTGTGTTATTCATATTATTAAGAAAGAAAAGGCATAATATTCGACAGTGTTGGTACTTAGTTAGCAATTCCGTACAAAACTTTTGAATATTAACTAATAAAAAATAGTTACCTCTATAATAAACTAAAATAGCTACGTTAGTAGCAAACAAATAAAACACAGAAAGGGTTCGAAAGTGATTCAAGTAATTAAAATTAATTACCTCTGTTATAAATTAAAAAAGCTACGTTACTGAGTAGGTATTAAAATATGCCCATGACACGTTAAACGTAATAATAACAGCATAGCAACTTAATAATAATTAACTTTATTAAGTGAAATTCAATGTAAAACCAATGCGTATAAGGATAACTTGATTAAATGTAGAATGTAGGTTAAAAACGTCACATATGTAGATACCTACTTATACCATTACAGGACGTCGAAAATTTTACCAAGACCATTATCCAATAGATACAATACAAAATACAAAATGTTTATTCTCTAACAAAAGATACAAATTAGAGTAGTGGCAAGGATATTCTTTTTAAGTATATAAATACCGGTATCAGTAGACCCCGCTCTTCCCAAGTATACTTAAGAATGTTAAAGATTTTGTTATACCAATGTAAAAGTTAAATATCCAAAAAATTATAAATAGAATTGTATAAAGAAAAGCTGTGTGTGCGTGCGTTCGTGCGTGCGTGCGTGCGTGCGTGCGTGCGTGTGTTTATGTGTGTAGTTATACCTATGTACATAAACATAATGCTTGTTTGTATAAAAAAAAACACTCGATTTAGATCCAATCCAGTTTCCAAACAATAGATATATTTTATATTTGTTATCGATGGCATACACTATAATGCTTGCCATCTTGGTGTAATGATTTGCCAGCCAGTAAGGTACTCTGCGATAGTTATTCAGGGTGCGTTAGATGTACAGGAAAGGAATGATAGGTGGCTAAGGGCGCTTTTATACGAGACGAATTCCACCGCGCTCACCCCGCGCGATCGAAGAGCGGAGTCTGCGGCGGCCGCCGCCCAGCGACCGCGTGCACGTGTTCAGAGACCGAACTGTTATGGCAAAATACGCTCTATTTATTTAGCTTTTAGCTGGAAGGCACTAGCTTGTCTTTTGTCTACGCGGTCGCCGAGCAGAGTCCGCTCTTCGACCGCGCGGCGTCCGCCGCGGACTCCTCTCGTCGACCGCGTGGCGTCGTCGGCGCGAAAACTTTCTGCTCGTGTGTTTGGGCGCTTACGCGCGATACCTCCAACGTTGTTGTAAGTTAAAATGCCATTTTTTCCTTTTTAAGTCAAATATATATACTCTAGTAAACAGGCAAAAGAAAAACTCATACGGCCCAGTGGTCACAACTAAGAGAATTAAAAATACCTACCTGTACCGCTTACTTAAAAAACAGAAGATGGCGGTAACATTTAAACTAAAGTGTTTTGGTATTCTTTTGTTTTGTTGTCTTTTTTGTATTTTGGTCGCGAAAATGAGTGCTAGTGAGAAGAGCGGTAACGAAAATACAGTAATATTACACATCCAAACACATCATCAGAAATTCAGCAGACTACCATTACTGTGCCTGGAAAAACAATAACATTATCTTTTAGCAATTCTATTGTACAAATTATAATGCTAATTAATATTTTTTTACTTTTTCTGTATAAATCTTCCTCTCGAGAGAAAAATTCTATACAAGCTTCGGCGGGAACAGGGATTGCTTGACTCGTATTACTCATAATATAACTCATAGGTACTCGTCCAGCAATCCCTTACTTCCCGGTCTCTGCAATAATTTACTATTTTATGCAAATCGTAGGTTCCATTTTAAAAGTAAAGAATCACTTAATGTTATGTTTACTTCCAAACATGGAACCTATAATATAAAAAAAAAGGATAATATATTTAAATTAAAAAGCAGAAAATGATATTTAGACTTACAACAACTTACGTGGGAGTGTGGGAGGTATCGGTAGGCGATTACATCGATGCAAACACGCGACTGCATTGCCGCTTAATGTCGCGCTTGTGTGTAAAGGTAGACGATTAGCGACTGCATCGCGTTTGCATCGCTTCTCAAGGTCGTCGTGTCACCGTTCTAAAGACTCATATCGGTAGAGTCATTGTAAACCATTTCTGTTCTGCGCCTTTGAGTTCCTGACATCACACGATATTAATTTTTTCGTTTATCTCATCCAAATAACATCGTCTAGGCTTTCCTCTGCCCGTCTGTTCTTGGATTTACCCATCTATGCTTCTTAGAAAACTGTCATGTATGACGTATTAAAATAATAACTGCCGTCCGCTAAAACGCGGCAGCTGACAAAACCATTTTTTTAAATAGGTATCATAAAAAAATCAATTTTTTAGGATATTGAAATTCTTTACGATATTTCACCTATACCTCATTAGGGTACGTTCCAATATGTCGGATACGGTAACTAACATAACTGTTTTTAAATAGAGAATTTTGCGCTTTATCTTATGCTATTTAAAACGGAAATTTGACCACTTGTGACTTGTCTGCGATTAAGTTAGTGGACGTCAGTATACGTATAGATCAGGATTTCTTAACCTGTGGTCCATGGACCCATAAGGGATCCTTGCAATGGACGCCGGGGTTCCATGGCGAGCATAATGGAACAGCAACCGTTACACTAACTATTCATACGTAATTAAGTAAAGTTTAGTCACAAACAATGATGATAACAATTGCCATTACAAGAGAAACGAACGTAACTTATAATTTTAACGGAAATTATTTATTTACTTCACAACATACCTAGAACATGAAATTCTGAGTTTAACTACTTAAACAACTTATTTCTGTGAAAATATCGAGATATCACCAACGAATCCTCGTGGTAACGGGTCTTGTTGTTTTAAATCCAAGTTGTCACACTATTCAAAATAATTCACTATATTTATCGCCTTAGAGTTAGGACCTTAGTTAGGAATTTTTACATAGTTTGTTTTTAATAGTTTTGTTTAAGCAGTTTTGCAACTTCTTGTTAAACATATTAATATAATCGTAATACCGCTCGTTTAAAAATATAAATATAATATAAGCGTAATACACGGGGCATAACTATATTAATATAAGCGTAAAACATCTTGCATAAATGTATTCATATAATAAGAATATAATAGTAATTTCGCACTTGAAAGAGTCATAATTTAAGTGATTTAAATTGTAACTACAAGCATTATTGAAATTACTATATTATACACAACATTTTTATCTTAAAAATTACGAAGAATTTGCATACGAAATATTCACTCTAAAGCGGCGATGTCCCCAACCCGCTCCTTAGGCATGACCTGTGTCCAGCAGTGGAACGTATAATTGATTGAGGAGAATGGTTAAGATTCTCATTAAGTCCTCTAATCAATGCAGGTTTTAGATATCTTGAGATGGTATCATCCACTATAATTACTATTTAATAATACAGAACAAAAGAACTAGAGATGGATTTGGAGATCTGAAATCATCACAGCTTATGAGCATTTATATCAGGCTTCGAAGCTGCTTGTTAATACGTTCATTAATTTCTCTACGTGATACATTTAATTGCAGGGTGCACCTGCATAACTATCATTAGCAAATTAATTTAGAAAAATGAGTAAAGTAAACGAAAGGGTCTATCATTTTAAATACTACGTTTTTTATTGTACTGATTATTACTAATTACAGCTTTTTTACCACGGTATGAATTCAATGTCAAAAGTCAACCCGTGACCATGGAGCGTGTAACCGTTACTAAATATAGTGAAAATAAAAAGAACTCATACCGTGGTAAGAAAGCTGTCGGTAATTAGTGGTAATTTGTATTGCACTTCATTGTTGGATAGATAATGGGATGAAATAAAAATAAACACCTTTATTAAACTAATTATTCAATACTTTAAGTCGAAGTTATCAGTTTCCACCGAAAATGGAAAAATAACGTACCTTGAACGATAGTGGGCGGCTAGAGACGAAGGAAACTTACAAATTTTTAGTTAATAAACCCATAAAATCGACATAAAACCATTTTGTGTAGTTAAGTCAAGGACTTATTTATATTTCATTTGTGTTCTAATGATTTGAGCAAAGATTTAGTGATGTGTTAAGTTTAATGACCGAGAAATAGATATATATTATATTAACATATAAGGAACATCATATATTAACTTTTAAGCGTTGTTATTTTTGTTTTTTAGTAAATCCTAGTTTTGTTCAGACTTAAAGAAAAGAGCTACGTAAAGTGAAAATTACCTACGTCCTAAATGCTAAAGAAATGTAAACTGTTTAATAAAATCTCTCTCTTATACAATGTTCAAATATGGTCTTGGAATGGTAGACTATGTGTAAACTGAATTCATGTTTTTCTGGATTGGTAAGTGAGTTCAATTTGGAATATTTTCTAAGGTTTTTTTATGAGACTAAGTCGTTTAATTGGCGGTTCATTCGTATGGAAGGGCCGACTGCGTCGATTGATAGGATAATATTTTATAGTACTTTGCCGGTCGTACAATAAGTAACGTGACAAAGTTTTTAATTACTGTTAGACGTGAAAATCGCCAGGTGCAAGTAGGAGGGATTTCAGTGGCCCCCATTTGACCGACGATTGCCATATTTGGCACGTCGCGGCTCTAAATATGGCTCGGGCCGGCCCACCGCCCCGCGACCCGCCGCCGCTTGCGCCGCTCTACTTCCGACTCTATTATTTCTATTTACGAAATAAACTCAAAATAAAAGCTCTATTTTCATACGCGAGATTTCGGGCACTGAAACGTTCGCGGTTCCCGGTGCAAAGCGCTTTTCCTACGGATGTGTCGGGTTACGTTCTCGTTTGCTGTTTCTGTCTCGTTTGCGATTGGCATTCGTTTCTAGTGTTAGAGCGAGACAGATAGCGGTCGGGGCGCGCGGGATGGAACCGCGCGAAGTCAGTCGCGGTCCGAGCGGCCGAGTCGTCAGTCCCGCCTTCGGTCCTTTCGCGTTTTCGGTCAGTCTCCGTTCGTCGTTCGAACGGTGAGGTGTGGATAGCGCGTGCGCGCACCGGTTACTGTGGCGTACTGCGAGGTTATTATGGACGCGCCCGGCGGAGCGCGCGAGCCCCGCTTCGGGTCGCCTTACGGGATGGGGCTGCTGGGGGAAGTGCAGGACATGTACGGTGGAGGCCGGCCGCCAAGCTCTCTGGGCGGGCCACTGCGGCCTGGCATGCAACCCTGCCCGGTGCCTCGAGGAGTGAAGAGACCCTCCGACCAGTGCTACGACGAGCGACCCTCCCAGAGCTTGGGTTTGGAGCACTGCCCGATGCCAGACATAGCGGACGATGGCTATGCATCCCTGCAGCCCAAGAAGTCTCCCCCGTCCAATGGCAAGAAGACCAAAGGGCGCGTCAAGATAAAGATGGAGTATATAGACAACAAACTGCGGAGGTACACAACGTTCTCGAAGCGGAAGACTGGCATTATGAAGAAGGTGGGTTGCAGATACCACTTTTGGCAATATTCCATATGGACCGTCCGGACCACCAGCTGCTAAAATACTTGCAACTGAGGAAGTGCATGAATACAATGCAAGTTTATGCTGTAGCAAGTGAAACTAACAGTGATTGGTAGAAGTTATGACGATACAACATGAAAATAAATTGTGTACAAAGTTTTGTAAAAGAACAAACGTGAGAGGCCAAACTTAAAACTATTCAACTTCTTATACAAAGCAACTTAAAAAGTAACAGCAATATTTCCTAAATTAAAGCTATTGCCTAAATTAAAAGAAATTAAGTTTTGTGTCTTTGACAATCAAAGTTTAATTATTCTCTTATAAAATATATGCAAACATTTAAAAGCTTTAAACCAGTTCACTAAACAAATACAGAAATTTAGAAGCAAATAAATGCATAATTCTGTAATTTGCATTTTAATTATGTGTGCAACAAGATACATTGAGTGTATCATAAAATGTCAGTAATTTAATCATACAAAAACTTAGTTTCAATTATTATTATAGTATCATTACGAATGAATGTACATTCGTAATGACTAGAAACTACACGATCACAATTATTGTGCACCCAAAGATGTAATACAAAGACAAATCGGAGAAAATGCATTTGTTATTGTCAAAGAGGTTATGTTTTCGCGACGGACGAAAACCTGTGGAATATTGCCGAAAATGGTTCGGAATGCATGTTTTTTAATTTGAAATGTGTAATTTTCAGTCGAGCGGAGTATTTAAAGTGTGTTTCATATTCATTTCATGTGTTTTTGTGAACATTTGTGGAGAAAGTTTTGACAGGTGTCAGCTGATTCAATCTTAGTTTCCGTGAGTATTTCTATGGAGTTTACGCAAAAATTTATTTCATAAATTTAGCAAATTTTAAAGTGTCACAAAATGTTTGGTTTGTGTGTATAATTCTCGTAAAAAGTGCTTAAAATTAGTTTTATTTTTGTAAATTTCTGACAGCTGTCATACATTAATTAGTAACAATAAATACCAATAGATGGCGCTACTAGTACCGTTTTCGACAATAGTGATGTGCATATTATTCACTTCTCGATTCGCGCTTATTCTCGTTTTAATTGTAATATTATGTAATATTACGTTTGAGACTTTTTGCAAGAAGCCAGTCCTTAAGTTACAGATTATTCGTGTTAGGTATCAGCTCGATGCTAAAATTTAAATAAAAATTATATAGTACGGATATGAGCAGGCAGGTGTAAAAAATAATAAATATTGACCACAGGAATATGATTTTTTGTTCTGATTCGTATGAGAGAGATTATTTAGTGTGCCATTGAAATAACCATTAAAAATATTTTTGTGAAACTTAAACAAGGAATTCAATGCCGGTGTCCTTTTATTTACCATATGTAATTGTGATTGATATTATATGCATACAGTTCACATAAGTATATCTTACACTAAATGAATAGTATATTGATATAAATTACTAAATAAGCAAAATACCGAGTGAAATAACTGCATTGTAATTTTTCTTATCATTCCAACGTCGGCGCAAGCGCGGCGTTTAAATGGTACAGCGACGTAACCATTTATCTTGTAAGCCCTGAAGATTATATTAATTTCATTTAGAAAAGGATCTCACGATGAGAAGACATTTGTTTGCCTCTCGGTAATTAATTCAAAATTCTTTTGCAAATGGGCAAGAACGGGCATAAATTCTCTGAATTTTAGACTACATAAGTGGTTTTTATAGATTACATGATAGTGGTTTTTAAATTACAGAAAATGCCTTTAAGTTTCACATTTATGGCAAGAAGTACTGCATTAATGAACACAGTCTTTAGTACAGCTTATACGAGTCTATTTCATGTTTTAAATACGTCCATGGAGACACTTAAGTGGTTCAGCTGTTTTCTCAGACGCAGAAAATTTTAAACACTAAAACAATAATTTTATACTTTTATAATATGTTTAACTTTATTACCACGGAAGTTACTAACGAAAATGCTATAAAAACTAGAATTTATTTCATAATTGTCGCTTTATATTGTAAAATAAATGAAAATCCTCGCAATTGCGTAAATAAATTCCTATTCTTGAAGTCGTTTAATGATCAGTTAGGTGCTATTTTTGTAGTTTACATAATTACAAGGACTTTGTGAGTACCTTCTGCTATTTCGTTACTGTAAATTTAGCGACCGTTAGTGTTCATACGAGAACTTTAAATATAGCATTTATTTATATTTTTAATAATATATATTTCGTAGCAGTAGAGTACTGCCACCATACCTAATTCTGCCGCCAAGCAGTAATGATGCATTACTGTTTCGGTTTTGAAGGGTGGTGGTGAAATGACAGGCACATAGGACTTGTCAACTTATGGCTTAGGGTAAAGGCCCGGTGGCAGTATCCCTCTTTGTAATTTAAAGCTCTGAGTGAAACTGCAACAGTTATCATCAGGCGCACGACTTGTTCGTCCCGTCACTCGGTATATTAAATAAAAACTTGTCAAAATTATAGGAAGAATGTGTAAACTACATCGTAAAATTTGGACATTGACTGTACGGCTTATGGAGACTTAACACGAGCTATGCTATTCATTGTCCTGGAGCTCAAATCTTACTCAAGGGCGATAATTTATCACTTCTGAAATCATTCCACTAATGATTTATTCAGTAAAGTTATGTAGACAAAAATATAGTATTCCGCAGCAAAATGCCGATCGGTAGATTCATTAACCGGGTAGACGTTGTCAATCTGAACATGTAGCGATGTCTGCAGAGCGCATGTAGGGATGCCATCAAATCCCTGTGCTGTACCCTTAGCTCTTGATAAGTTACAAGCGAAACGCGAAAACCTTATTATTAATTCTTTGTAACAAATAATATTCTGCCAATTAGACCGTTTGCTAAACTTATGAGCAAACAAGGCAGAACTAAATCTCAAAAACAAAAAAAATACTGTTTTTTTTTCAAAACATGAAACAATTTATTTGTCGTAATTACCTTTGTTCAATACCTATTTGATAGCATAACCAAAACATATTTGGCACGTCATTTCATCGCCGTACCTAGATTATAGCGACTTATTTTTTGTTCCATCGACCCACACACATTTCTGAACATTATTCTGAATTTGTTGAACAATCGAAACATAATGCTTGACAAAGTTTACAACTTTGCCTGTAAATTTGATTAATTGACTAATACAGTTTTATCTCCTTTCTTTTTTCCTAAATACAGTCTTTAACTGACGTCCTTAGCGATCGCTTAAATTATTTATGTTTTAAATATAAAAACATATAAATATGCCATATACATATGTATTTGACCTGGTCGTATACGACTTTTATGCTGTAAAATGGTAGAGGCATTGAATTAAACAGCGAGTGACTTGCACCACGGGCTCGGGTCGCGTAGCACGCAAGCGGTCCTGTCGCGCAGCAGGTATCAAAGTTGCCCGCGCGGTGTGCTCTGTTGTTACTTGTTAGCTGCCCGCGTCCGCCTTCGTTGCCATTACACTACGCTTTTTCTCAGCTTCATGTGTAATTATATTAAAATTGTTAGCCTTTGGTGCAATATTTATAAAATTACAGATGCCTTGTTCAAAGTTGAAGAGCAAATACCGTTTCAGATTGCTGATTGCATTTAATCTGATTGATGAAGCATGACATTTCGTTTCTTTGTATCATTCTTCAATTCACATCTAATGTCAAACTGAATAAGATAAATCCTGAAGATAAATGTTAATATAGTGGACTTGAGTCCACACTTCGTCTATTGGTGCTTTTTGAACAATTCCAAAATCTATAAAGTAAAAACGAATTTATCCTCACGATCAGGATATGTTGATGTCTACAACCTGTACAGTAACTACCATACCTAACGAGAAATATGGCTTTTTATCTCCAAATTCTTTTTCTTATTAATACGTCCCGGAACTGTACACAATATCTCGAGAACAATTCTTATTAATCCAGTCTCCGAACTCATCAGAGTCAACTGTGCACGAGCGGGACTTTAATTACGACGCTCCAGGGGTTTTCGCGGCGACACGACGGCATTTGTTGTCGGCGGCATTGTGCCGTCTAATCGCCGACAATATGTTGCTTACGCCCTTTGATCTAGTAGCTGGACGTCTGTTCTCGACGTAAAAGCCTTGTAAGTCTTCCAGGAGGCTTTCTCTTAGACATTTTATTCATTTAGCGAGACTAATCCTTTTACTTTGGCAAGGTATTCAACATAATTCTTTTGGAATAGCCAGTTAATGTGTGTTTAGGTAAAAGTTCCGTATGATTATGAAAAAATCGCCCATTTATACAACGTAAAGCAAATTGTATGCCCTCAGTGGGCATTGGCACACAACCGATTTATTTATCTTCTTGCAATTTATCAAGCTAAAATTGAACCTTTAATAGGGTCCGATCAAACGATTCCGTTTAAGAAAATAATAATATCCCGCCTTCATTGTCCGGCGCTTTTCTGCGATGCAAGAATAAATTATACAGTCCGATATAGGCGTTCCGATATAGTCCTTAAAGAGGACATTTTAATAAATTTAAAATAACGATTATCGTTGTGTTGCCGAGTCGTGATTTCGTTAGGTTCGTGGTCGGGTCTAGGGCCGGAATAAGTCGTCACGAGCGATTACTAAATTAATTAGAACCTAGCTCGGATGTAGATTGCTCTCTAGATTATTTTCCCACACGACCCGACAGTATTTAGATCTTAGATTTTGTGTGCATTGTTTAGTTTAGGCTAAGTTATAAAGAATTTGTATCATTATTATACTACTAAAGCAGCATACAACATTGAGCTGCAGTGGTGGTGTGGTCAAGTTGTGTCAATTTGCGTCTATACTGAAGGTTACTTTGTGTACGTTGTGGTTATGTAGCATTTATCACTAACTTCTTTAGAATAATAAAATGTTTCGCAAACTCCACTTCTAGGACTTCTTTATTCGTAAATCCTCAGCATGCGAATGGTGCACAATTTCGGAAATGAAACAATTAT